CATCAATGGAAAGCTTATTTGTTCAAATTTCAGGTGATGCATAAATCTCAATTTCACAAAATTGACCTTTATGACTGGTTTTGTGGTCCAGGGTCACATTTGTTCAGAATCATCTAAAATCATGATCATCTTCCACTTAATTGTTGTCCTTCATTAACATCCTAGTGTCTTTCTCTGCAGCACCTCAGATGTTCTGTTCTGGGCTCTTTGACTCGCTCTTTAACAGTTCCATCATAATGGCGTGAGGATGCGGTTGCTATGAGACGGCTGACAGGACTGAGCTTTATTAGTGCTCTTCTGCAGGTGTAACGTGTGCTGATTGTCAAACTGAAACATGAAGCATCTCTCACACACACATACACAGACTCTAAACGCTTAACTGGAAGGTTGCTGGTTCAATCAGTCATCAAACCAGCCATCAGCCATTCTTGAACAGTAATTTCAGAGAAGAAGCAAATGATTAGATTTTGATTAAAGACTCTTTAGACAAACTTTTTTTAATGAATTGCATTAAACCAAATGGGGTCAGTTTTGATTACATGTGGACTTAGAGAGCTCTCTCTCTCTCTACCTCTGTGTGTGTGTGTGTGTGTGCGTGTGTGTGGTTTATGAGGACACAAATTTGTTTAATAACATGGGTATGACATAGGTATTACAACGAGAAGGTGATTTATGAGGACATTTTCAGTGTCCCCGTAATTCAAAAGGCTTATAAATAATTCAGAATGAGTTTTTTTGAAAATCTAAAAAGGTCAAGTCTGCTTTATTGTCAATTCTTCCACATGTACAGCACATACACACAGAGCTGTGTGTGTGTGTTATGAATTGATTTTGATCTTCTTTTTTTAGTCACTTCGAATAAAAGTATCTGTTTAATGCAGAAATGGAAATGGAAATTGGAAATAAACCAAAATTAAGAATGCATCTATCTACACTAAGTAAACAGTTTAGGGTCAGTAAGATTTTTTTTTTAATTAATACTTTTATTATTCAGTAAGGATGCATTACATTGATCAAAAGTGACAGTAAAGGCATCTATGATGTTGTGACAAAATATTTCTATTTCAAATAAATGCTGTTCTTTTGAACTTTCTGTTCATCAAATAATCCTGAAAAATAAAATGTATCACAGTTTCCGTAAACATATTGGGCAGCACAACTGTTTTCAACATTGATAATAATCAGAAATGTTTCTTGAGCAGCAAATCAGCATATTAGAATGATTTCTGAAGATCATGTGACACTGAAGACTGGAGTAATGATGCTGAAAATTCAGCTGCGCATCACAGAAATAAATTATATTTTACTATATATTTACATAGAAAACAGCTATTTGAAAGTGTCATAATATTTTAAATGTTTTTGTCTATTTTTGTTCAAATAAATGCAACCTTTCTTAGCATGAGAGACTTCAACAACAAAACAAACAAACAAAAAATGTATCCCAAACGTTTGAACAATACTGGATTTTTTTCTGAGATGTCCATAGAGCAAGACGAGATCTATGGACGACAGAAAGACAGTAGTTGGTAACACTTTACTTGAAGGGGTGTGCATAAGACTGACATGGCACCTTCATAATCATGACATGACACGTCATGAATAAGAAGGAGGTTTTATGCATGTTTATGACAACTGTCATTAAGTGTCATTCGCTCAGTTATGTATTTTTTAATGCAAAGATGACATTGTTTGAGATGTCTTTGTTATGGGCTATGGTTAGGGGTAAGGGTAGGGTAGGGTTAGGTTAGGGTTAGGTCAAATAATGTCATATTTGCATTAAAAATGACATAACTGAGCGAATGACACTTAATGACAGTTGTCATAAACATGCATAAAAAACCTTCATATTCATGACATGTGTCATGTCATGATTATGTAGGTGTCATGTCATGATTATGACGGTGTCATGTCAGTCTTATGCACACCCCTTCAAGTAAAGTGTAACCCAGTAGTTTGTCTGTTTACCAGCCTTAAGTTTGAGTGTTGCAACCTTTGAAATATTTAGTGCAAGTAAGAAGTGAAAGGTGAATTCTGGGTGAATAAGAGTGCTATTTATGAATAACCATCCCTGACATGAAGAGCATGACAGAATCCAAAACAGAGTGAAAAAAAATCCAAGCATAAACTAAAATAGCTCAAATCAAGCAAACAAAAATAACTAAAAACAGGACAGGAGAAGATGGTGAGGCAAAGTGGAAATAACAGATACCGATGGAGTTTCAGTTCAGAGAAATGTGACCCGTAGATGTGTTTGATCAGATGCGGTGGATATAGAGACCCACGTGTGCTTTTATTCCCACTGGAAATGATGAAGCAGCTATTTTTACCTGGTGACTGTCAGGAATGAAAACCTAAAGTGAAGCAGAATGACAGATGAAAATAAGTAAAGGATTCAAGCAGATATGAAGCACCAGGCTAAATTTATTTTCTGACCTTTTTTGCCATTTTTTTCAGGATATCAATACATTTGGATGAAAATTACAGTGTTCAAAAATACAACAAAACAGAGACTGAAGAGCAAATTCAATAAACAGCCATATCTACAGACCAGAATATCACTGATGATATTATACTGTCATATTAGTATCACTGAGATACTATTATAGTTTTTTATTAATAGTTTGAATTAGTTTTTTTTTATATATATATTATCAGATTTTGTTTTAATTTTAGTTAAAGTTTTTGTTTTTTGTTTTTTTTTAGTATGCTTGTATCATTTTTTTTTTTTTTTTGGTTTGTTTTTAATCACACTATATAGTTTTTATTCATTTTTATTTAAGTTAAAATTCAGTTTTATTTCCTTAACATCTAGCTGAAATAAGTTAAATACGTTTTTTTAATCTCTTATTGTATTTCATTTAACATCTATTTAAAGGAATTGTTTTATTTATTTATTTTATTTTTTTCAGTTTTAATAACCCAGACTAGATCTTGGACTCTTTTAGCTCATCAGGTTCATAATAATAATCGATAAAGTTTTCATATCATGCGGGATTCAATGTTTCTTAAAGTTTATTAGAGCAAAAAATGTACAACATTTCTTAACTCCTCGCGGTTCAAAAACCTTATTTACTGTACAACCACTTCTGATCTGCTATAACTTCATTGTACGTAACATTAAACGGAGACTTTTAAGGTTTTATTTTTTGGTCTGGAGAGACAGTTTTGAGTTCGGAAAGTTATAGTTTGTTTTCACAACTATTATTTTAGATGATGAATGAGAATTTGTTTCCATCTGATATGGTCCCTTTGAGCATTTTATTCATACTTTTACTTAAACATACTAGAGGCATGCGAACACACAAAGTGCTAAATAACTGAATTATTTCTCCTATTTATCAGCACTAATATTTACTGTGTTTCTATGGATCGACTTACTAGTGAACACTAAAACCACAGTGACATATGTTAATTCACCATTTACATGCAATAACTGTATTAAACTTTACTGTAATATCACTGTGACACCACCAAACTTTATACAGAAATATATACACTGTAAAAATTACTTTCCTAAGTTGTAAATAAAACAAAGATTATTGAAGTATGTTTTACCAAAAAAAATAAAATAATAACTATTTATTTTTCTACTTCAAAATTTGATGTTTATTCCAATGTGTTATTTGCTGTTCATGAACTGCATCCTTTATTTTCACTTTTCATCATTTAGAGACTCCTGACATTAAAGGAGTTGTTCACCCAAAACTGAAAATCTCCTCACCCTCAGGCTATTCAAGATTAGGATGAGTTTGTTTCTTCATCAGGTTTGTAGAAATGTAGCACTGCATCAGTGTCTCAGCAATGGATGCTCTGCAGTGAATGGGTGCCGTCAGAATGAGAGTCCAAACAGCTGATAAAAACATCACAATAATCCACACCACTCCAGTCCATCAGTTAACATCTGGAGAAGACAAAAGCTGCGTGTTTGTAAGAAACAAATCCATCATTAAAGTGTTTTAACTTCAAACCTTCACTTCCTGCTGAAGGATCTAAGGATCCTCAAATGCAAACTGTGCTTTGCTTCAAGAGAGCAGCCATACATTTGTGTTGTGTTTTACTTTCTTTCTTTTATAATGCAATTATTATCCATTTATTCATTAATTAATTCATTTATAATCATTTATCATTCAATCATTTTATTATTCCATTTAATCATAATCATTTATAATAAACATTTATCCATTTATATACAAATTAATTTATTTTTTTATACTATTTTTCCATCGTTGTTTAGTCTTATGATGTGTGGTTTGTCTTCATGAATAAGAGATAAGAGGGAATGTTTATGGAAATTCAAGGTTTATGGGAAGTTCGTGGCTGATAAAAGACAGTTTTTAATACAGTTTTGGGTACCAGACAAGACTTGATGTTAAAGGGGTCATATGATGTTGCTAAAAAGAACATTATTTTGTGTATTTGGTGTAATGAAATGTGTTTATGCGGTTTAAGGTTCAAAAAACACATTATTTTCCACTTGTAACATTCCAAAGAGAAAGGAAAACTTGAAATCGCATCATATGACCCCTTTAACGGGTTTTGGGTATTAGACAATTTTGCTGACTAGTTGTTCTGTTACCAGACAAAACGGACATTTTCTGACAGGATCTTGCATCCGGGGCTTGATCTGATATTTCTGGCATGGAGGCATGATCTAACACTGATAAAATAGTCCATAATCCAGTGAAAAAGTCCATCTCCTGTTGTCTCTCACATCAAAATCCAGCCACATGTTTGTTTAGAGCTGTTTTGGCTTGTAAACAGCGTTTGATCTCTGCAGATTTCTCTCCTGATTCAGACCAGACCACTTTTTCACTGGAGGAAGCGTTATTATGGATAGAAGACTCGTATAATGTTTTTATCAGCTGTTTGGACTCTCATTCTGACGGCACCCATTCACTGCAGAGCATCCATTGGTGAGCAAGTGATGCAATGCAACATTTTCCCCAGATCTGTTCCAATGAAGAAACAAACTCATCTATTCCTTTAATGTGCTCAGCTCAAGCAGGGCTAAGCATGTCTGTTTTCACACTGCCGTGTTTCTTCATACTGCTTTCACTGGAGGAGTCTTTTATGACGCTGTAATAAACACTTACAGTGCTTTTGCTTGCTCGGCTCTGATCTGACCTGCGTTTACAGACGCAGAGCCTCTTAAAAGCAGCGCGAAACTTCTGCGACATGGCGTTGTAGATGATGGGGTTGACTGCGCTGTTGGTGTAAATGCACATGCGACAGAAGAGCAGGAACCAGGTGTTGAGATACGGCGGATCCATGAACGAATTCACAACCACTAGAGTCCGATACGGCATCCAGAGGAGAGCGAACAGAACCACCACCACCGCCAGCATCTTTGTGACCTGCAACACAAGTCAAGTCAGCTTTATTTATATAATGCATTATACAATCGAGATTGTTTCAACACAGGCAGAAGATGCTACTGAGGGGAAAATGGAAATGTGAGCTGCTGCATTTGTTTTGTGTATTTACTTTTAAAGGCAGAGCAGTTGCGCATGATTGCATCATTTTTACACTTTCTGAAGAAATGCGAGTTGTGCTTTGATACTCGAAACATGCAAATTGCACCATGATGCTAGAAAGTTCTTGGTGGTTGATTGGACTCTCTATGATATGCTGGTCTCTAGAAATTGCTCAGATCCTCCTTAATGTGAATTTTTGCCTTTTTTTATTATCTGCCAGGCAAAAACGACAGTCTCGGAAACACTCCTGCTTACATATTATATTATTGATTATATATGTAAAAATCATATTTTTGTATGATGATACAGAACATCATCTCACCAAAAATAATAATAAAATCTGTTTGTACAGTAATTATTAGAGAGTTGGACTTGTAACCCAAAGGTGGTGGGTTTGAA